GCTGGAGCGGGAGGTCTTTCCCAGCAGCTAGACTGGGGTTTCTCAGGGGAACTATGAAAGGTCAGTGTGAAAACAAACGCCGAACAACCACGTGACGGTGCATCGACCAGTCGAAAACCGAGCGACCATACTGCCTGCTTGGCCGGAGGTGTAGCGCCATTTTGTTTTAGCTAGTAGCAGACACGACATGACGAATCTTCGACAGACACGATATTGGACAGTATGCGGGCCCACATCCCGGATTCAGTGAAAGCAGCCATCAAGAAAACAAACTCAATTCCTGCTGTTATTCCTGGAGGTACAACAAAGTTTTTGCAACCCCTGGACATCAGTGTGAATTGTGCATTTAAAGCAGCACTCAGGGCTGAATGGGAGGCTTGGATGACTGATGGGGATAAATCATTCACAAAAACTGGCCAAATACGAAGAGCATCATTTCCTGATGTCTGCCTGTGGATCCTAACAGCGTGGAGCAGAGTGAATGAGTCCACCATCACCAATGGGTTCCGAAAGGCTGGACTGCTACGTGAAGAGGACACCACAGCTTCAGAGCCAGCATTACCCCGYGAGGACAGCGACACAGAAAGCAACACTGAACAGATATCGCTGTGTGACGCAGCTTTTCTCAGCTTGTTTAATTCCGACACTGAAGAGGAGGACTTCGATGGTTTCAGTGCGCTGGAGGAAGATGAATGAGACGTTTCGTTGGACCAGAAACTCTTAACGAAAACTACCAAAATAAGGTCAGTTAAATGAACCGTATTCCTCCGAACTTTAATTCTTAAAGGTTTGCTTTTTATGTTTTGATGTTGAATTCACTTTTGACGACAATTTTGGGTGTACTGTTTTTTTTTATGTTGGGGGTGTGGCTTATAGTCCGGTGCGGCTTATATGTTAATGTTCGCTGTTTTTTTTTAAATGGCGGGTACGGCTTATAGTCCGGTGCGGCTTTTAGTCCGAAAAATATGGTACTGTGAAAATATACCATTTGTAGTATTTAATGAAAATAAGATATGAAGATATCTGATGTTTGTTTTTGTTTTATTTTTGGTAAATTTGGAGATTGTTGAAGTTTGTTAGTTTAGAGCTAGTTTAGTCCTTGCGAAGAACTTGTTCAGAACTGGTTCATATTTATCTGTAGTCTGGATATGATTTAGACCTGGTTTAGTTCTAGCTTACACTTGTCATGGGGGTCATTTGGACTTCAGAGTAAATGTTTGTAAACAATGTAGTTATATCATCTATGTAAACATATTGGGGGAAAAATGTTGTAATGTTTTGGACTGAAGTCAGACTAAAGGTGTAACACAAAATTGATATAAAATTATACAATATGCTTTAATTAAGAGCCAAAGAAATTAGATCCAGAAAGGACTAGGACATTAGGAAGAATAATTTAGTCTTGTTTATTTATGTGGATTCATTCTAGGTGCCACTTGGAACACAAAATATTCTGAGAAATGTTCTGGAAAAAAAATAAAAGTTTAACAACCACCCTTACTCCTACTGTCAGTTTACCAGATAAGCTTTTAACTGTGATTTTTAACATTACGTTGCCTCACCTGCTCCCCTACAATGAGCCAGAGGAACATGGCAGCTTATTTGAAGAGTTCCTGGAGAACCAAATGATACCTTTGCCACCACTGGACAACTTAGACATGGACAACTTCTGAACTGGCACAGAGAAAACACAAGGTAATGTTTTTTCCCCTTCAGATTAAAACACAAAGGATTAAAGCTCTACTAGATATTTATTTGAACAGATAAAAATAAAACTAAACAAAAGCACACATCCGAGCTGATTATGTTCTCTTGGTTCAGTGTTTACAGGTGACAGAGGTAGGCCTGTTTTAAAGGCTTGTCACAATTGTAAAACTGGTTCTTGTGTTAGCCCATAATGTTGATGCAGAAAGGCTGTTTTCTCTGGTGGAGATAAACAAGTCTAAAAGCAGAAACAGAGCAGCTCTAGAGGTACAATCTTCTCAATAATGACTATAAGCTTGGCTGGTCTGGAGCCCTGCTTTAAGTGGAAACTAAACATTGATAAAATCATGGCCTCAAAGAAGGCCACAAGGCATTACAATGATGCTCACAAAAATGAGCTTATTTAGATTAGCATTTCTGTCACAGAGTTTTGTACATTTAGAAAGTTGTTCATGTTAAATATGAAGTGATATCTTGTGTCAAGGTGTATTTTTATAAAATATTCCTAAAACTCCTACATGGTCTGATTGTTTAAGTGTGCTTCAGTGATTATTGCTGTGTAATTTGTAAAACAAAATGATGAGATGGAATATTTTGTCTTTAGCATCCCCTGCTGTCCAGGGGATTAGAACATCACTGGTTCCTGTATTTGTGTCAGTAATACAAAAAGAGCTCATTCCCTGTTGTTTATTTGACTTAAGCTGCTTAGATTTTAGTTCGGTCACCAGAATGTACATTTTCCCCAGACACAGCACTATAACCACATATCACTTATTGTTATTTAATAACATTTACTATTAGAGATCTATTTCAGTTAAATAGAGCTATTTGATACCATATTTGAGGCTAATTGTTGTCTATTAGTTCAGAGTCAACTTGGACAAGTGACCAGCTGAGCTCCCGGGTCAATCCTCCACCTTCCTTGGCACCTGTACAGACTGCCTCACCATCCGAGGCGGCTACAGGAGAGAGGAGCTGCTCCCATTACATTTGAACCTTAAAATCTAGTTTTTTAGGTGTTTTGTGTGTTTTTATGTGGCTCTATCTTATCTGATTATTATTTTGTGCAGTAAAACTATCAGCAATGCTGTTTGTTGTTCATTGAGTTAAATCAATAGAAAAAAATCAACATATTTACTCACACTCCTAGGCACTTAATGTGCAGTAACTGAAAATTAATTTATAAGCAAAATCATTTTGTTAGTGTTTTGCTAAATCTATTAGCAGTGGTGGGCACCAGTCCGCTAAAGCACAAACCCGCTAATTGTGGACCTTAATATTTCGTTTGCCCTTTAGCGGTCTTACTAATTTTTATAATTCATAAGCAGATTTGCACTTTCTAGAATTAAAATGCAGTATCGCTAATAATTAATTATCTACCAGTCATCATCATGATCTTGAACAGTGGAAAGTATTGCTATCAATGAATCACAACACACATGATCTACCCAACAACACCCCTCCCAGATAAACACGCATATTGGAAAGGTATACATTCTTGCTGACAATTGCTCTCGGTCACGGTTCTGATTTCCCACAATGCTTTGTGTCTGCTAACGTAGCAGGAAGGCAAGGTTTAGTACTCCCTTTCCCAGCAAAAACAGTAAATGTTTGTAATCCATACTAAAATTTTGTATGTATTGATTTATTTTACTTAAAATCAGAGCTCCTTTAAAAAAAAGGTTAAATGCTGGAGCTCAATACTTGATGTAATTGGTTGAAGCAATCCGCCAACGGGGTTAGACAGACATCTAGTGGTCAACTGGAGCAACTACATGAAAAACTTTCATTTCCCGTCACAAATCAAATCCGTCATGTACCCAGAATGCATTGCTTCAGTTTTCCAATAAACAGTTTTGAAATTGCTTTATTGATACTTCGTTATTGAAAAATCTACAACAAACAAAAGGGAAAGACAAAGAAGCAGCCAAACTAGCAATCTTCAACAACTTTTTAAAGTATCAGCCGAACTAGCAAGCCTCAACAATGTTTTAATTTTTACACCAGGAGCTAAAGGTCTGTTTCAGGAAATCACATCCCCAGCAATCGACACTTGTAGGATTAAGCTGTACAAGGGTTCATACACAACTAGTTGGCAGTGTTGTACTTACATTTTTATATTTGTCGCTAATCAGCTACACTCACACCTCTCCAGCAATAACCTCTATGAACAGTTTCAATCAGGTTTTCGACCACAGCACAGCACCGAAACTGTTCTTATTAAAATTACTAATGATCTTCTCCTTGCTGCTGACTCAGGACTTCTGTCAATACTCATCCTCCTTGATATGAGCTCTGCCTTTGACACCATCTCTCATCCTATCCTCGACAGAATAACCTCTATCGGCATCTCAGACACCCCCCTGGACTGGTTTAAATCCTATCTTTCTGACCGCACTCAGTTCATACAACTCAAGTCCTTCCGCTCCCAGTCTTCACCCATGTCCACACCGGTGTTCCCCAAGGTACTGTACTCGGGCCTCTACTTTTCATAATCTATCTGCTCCCGCTTGGCCACATCTTACGTAAATTTGGTATCCATTTCCACTCATATGCCGATGACACTCAACTCTACATTTCAACAAAACCAAACTCCACCTTCTCATCCTCCAATCTTACCGACTGCCTCAGTGAGCTCAACAACTGGTTCTCTAACAATTTCCTCCAAATAAACCATAACACAACTGAACTCCTCCTTGTTGGGACAAAAAAACTCCATTTCCAAATCCCAGCATCTTCTCTTCACTCTTAACAACTCCGTTCTTTCCCCCTCGCCTCAGGTCAAGAACCTAGATGTCATCCTTGACACCACACTCTCTTTCAACTCACACATTAACAATGTGACTCGATCTGCCTATTTTCATCTTCGCAGCATAAACCGACTCCATCCTTCACTCACCCCCCCCCCCCCCCCCGCTCCACTGCCATCCTTGTACAGTCTAGTAACATCCAGGATCGACTACTGCAACTCCCTACTGTTTGGCCTCCCCAATAAAACTCTTCCCAAGTTACAGATGGTTCAGGACTCAGCAGCCTATGTAAACACAAACTTCATCCTCTGCCCACATCACTCCAGTCCTACAGCAGCTCCATTGACTCCCAGTTAAATCCCGCATCATCTTTAAAATTCTCCTACACACCCTCAAAGCTATCCACAATCTTTCCCCTCCTTACCTGTCTGACCTCCTGAACATCTCCACACCCTCCCGTTCTCTAAGATCTGCCTCTTCCCTCCAACTCTCAGTACCCCCTGCCCTCCACAGCACCATTGGGAGCAGAGCTTTCAGCCGCTCTGCTCCGCAGCTCTGGAACTCACTACCCCATGGATTACCAATACCACCTCTCTCTCCCTGTTTAAGACTGGCCTGAAGACACATTTTCAAATTAGTCTACCGCTGTTAATTCATTTTTTAATATATGTCTGTTTCTGTTGTCCACACTTCTGTTTCTCCCCCACAATTCTATTGTTCGATTTGTCTACATTTTTGTATTTTATTATGTGACTGTTCTGTACTCTGCATTTCTGTTTCTCCCACACTACCTTATATATATA